GAGGCTGCGGGCAACTTCGTAACCCAGCGCTGCGCCACCGAGGAGGCCCTAGACCAGCAATTTACATGATTAATGTGCTAATGGGATGAATGGAAAAAGTAAATGACACAAGCCATGCTCTAATCTTTTAAAGCTCTCTGTGAGAAAGGGACACACTTCGTATTGCATGTCCCAGATTGCAGCTAGGTTCCAGCAGTCATTCACATTCATGCCCGCGCGCGCGCGCACACACACACACACACACACACACACACACACACACACACTTAAAAGAGGTAAGTTAGAAAAGGAAACACTGGGTGAGGGGCTGGCAAAGGTGTTGGAAAAAGTAATTTGAAAGGGAGTTTCACAGCATTTCACCACGTGACTCAGTTTACATTTTGATCTATGTAGACATAGATTTGATGAACTCCACATAAACACTGACAGTTTCCTTACAAGGCTAAAGTGTGGTGTGGTCGCGGCCATTATCTGGAAGTTCAACTTCAAATCTATTTTTCTCTTGAAAGCCCCTAAATTTCTGTAAACTACCTGAAGTCCTTAAAAAGCTTTACTTTCTTTTTAACAAATACAAAAATTCACTCTTGTTAGTTTACTAAGTGCCAAAGGCAATACAACCTATATTTAAAAAAATGTTACATCAAAACACAGAGGCTAAACTGTTATGGAAACACTGGCAAAAAGAGTTGAAAATGGGCCTCCCCAGTGGTGCAGCGGGTTGAGCGCAGCACTGTGAGGCTGTCTCCAGACTCTGCAATGTGGGTTCAATTCCCAGCTGGCAAGGGAGATTCCCACATGGTGAGGCAGACCTCTCATGTCTCACCCGTTGCTCCCCTCAGCAGTGTCTTCAGTCCTTCTGCCTGTTCTGCTCCCCGCTCTGTCTCTGGTGGATTCTCTCACCCTCCTGTGCCACTGGCCTGTACCCCAGTGCTTGTATAAAAAATAAATAAATAAAGATTTATTTTAAAAAAAAAGAGTTGAAAATAGTTACCACAGAGAAGCCATGATCAAGAACAGGAGGGATGGCTCAGAGCTGCCCTTCTTTTTTCCCCCAAAATCTGGTAGTATTACATGACCTTTATTTTTTTTTTTTTATAGAGGCATGCTTTATTTATTTGTTTGCTGGTTTGTTTGTTTGTTTTGTTTATACATGCACTGGGTACAGTCAGAAGCGCGGGAGGGTGAGAGAATTCACCAGAGCCAGAGCGGGGAGCAGAGCAGGCAGAAGGACCGAAGTACACTGCTGAGGGGAGCAGCGGGCGGCAGGAGAGGTCTGCGCGCCATGTGGGACCCTCCTCCGGTGGCCGGGGAGCAGCCAGGGATCGAACCAGCGCCGCAGAGGCCGCGGGCAGCTTCGCAACCCAGCGCTCAACCGCTGCGCCACCGGGGAGGCCCTTACATGACCTTTAAATTTTATTTGCATATTGCTTTGAATTTTTTTCTAATAAAGTTAAAAATATTTAAGAGAGACATTAAAACTAGCATTATCAACAACAAATTTTCAGTCTAGTAAATGCAGAGGTAGATGTTTTTCTAATGCAACACAGCAAATGTGAAGTCCTGGTTTCTACATAGTGAACAAATTCTGTTTAGATCCCACTTGCTCTGGAAGAACACTGCCTTCCCACTCAAGTCATACAGAGCCGTGTCTATCACTCCACCTCCGCCACTGAGCACAATGGAGAGATGGGCACACCTGAATTGCGGTTGCAGTAGATACAGAAAAAGAAGGCATGGAAAAGTGTCAGCATTTGCACGTCTTCACAATTAAATGTCAAAAGCTATGACACCAGAAATTGCCTGTGAAAGATAAGGAAATTCTGGGCCTCTCTGGTGGCACAGCGGATGGGCACAGTGCTATGAAGCTGTCTGTAGCCTCTGCAGCGCGGGTTTAATTCCCTGCTGGCCCGGGAGATACCCACATGGCAGGGTAGACTTCTTCTGCCTCGCCCACTGCTCCCCTCAGCAGTGTTTTCAGTCGTCTGCCTGTTCTGCTCCCTACTCTGTCTCTGGTGGGTTCTCTCAACCTCCTGTGCCTCTGGACTGTACCCCAGTTCTTGTATAAATAAATAAATCTTTATTAAAAAAAGATAAGGAAATTCTACTGGGGTAATACCTAGCAAGGACACCAGACAAGGTCCTGGAGAGGTCAGAAGACAGTGATTTCCCTCTATCACATTTAGCCAAGGGATTTTACTGATTTTTCCAGTCAGAAGGGATTGGGAACTAACAGTAAAATTAGACTCTGAGTTACTCTATTTGAAGATGAGGAAACTGAGGGTTAGAAAATTTAAGCCACTTGCCTAAATCAGTCAAATTATTTAGAAAGAAAACAAATACCTTTCCAACACTTGTCCGCACAATAATTTGGAACACCCTTTTGGAAAACAAAATTCTTATACACACTCACCAAACATTTATTGAGGACCTCAGTGTTTTTGCATATACTCAGCATTCATGTCCTTCAACCATGTAATCAAGTGTCACCCAAAGAAAATAATCTAACAGTCTGGAAAATATCCAAGAGGAGAAAATAGTTGAATAAATTAAAACACATCTTTTAAAGTCATTTTCTATGGCTAATAAAATTATAAAAGCTAATAGAAAAATAGGAAGAATCTAAATGCTAACCTTAATATAAAACAACTATATTTGCTCTATGATAACAGTAGGAAGTGTGTGTGTGTGTGTGTGTGTGTGTGTGTGCGTGCATGTGTGTGGTCAAGATTGAAAGCGGACCAAAATGAAGATAACAGCTTTAAGGAAGTTAGCTTATAGATAATTTTTTTCTCTTCTTCCCTTTCCCCTCCACTTTCAGTCCTGGACATTCAGTTCTAAAGCACAGAAGGTGAGCGGGACAAGGTTTGGAGCTTGGTGTGCAGAGAGCGGGTGCACTGAGCAGAATTCAAAGTCCAAACAAGCTGAGAAGTTTCTACATGTAGGAAGTTGCCCAGCATCAAGTGCCCGGCAGGGGAGGAAGGATCTATGCAAGAAGACCCCTGGTGTGGGGTATTGGAGCCAGACCAGGAAGTGAAGGCAAAGGGTATCCACGTGGTGGGGGCTGCTTGGCATGGAGACTCAGACCCTGATGGTGTTGAGGAGACTGTCCACACAGAAGGGCAGTGGACAACCCAGTGTAGAAAGTAAGAGCCTGTAGTAATGGATTGAAAGGAGGTATCAGTGTGAACTAGTGATTTTCAATATAGGGTAATAGATAGATAGATAGATAGATAGATAGATAGATAGATAGATAGATAGATAGATAGATACATACATACATACATACATACATACATACATACATACATACATACACACAATTTCATACATACATAGATGATAGATATATATGGGTACACAGACATAGATGTCTAGGTAGTTGCATAGATACAAGCAAAGAAAGTGGGCCTCCCCTGGTGGCGCAGCGGTTGAGCGCTGGGCTGCGAAGCTGCCCGCGGCCTCTGCAGCGCCGGTTCGATCCCCGGCCACCGGCGAGGGTCCCACATGGCGCGCAGACCTCTCCTGCCGCCCGCTGCTCCCCTCAGCAGTGTACTTTGTCACTCTGTCTGTTCTGCTCTCCACTCTGGCTCTGGTGACTTCTCTCACCCTCCTGCGCTTCTGACTGTACCCAGAATAAAATAAAATAAATAAATAAAAATAAATAAATAAATCTTTTAAAAAAAAAAAAAGAAATACGTGTGTGTTTGTGCAGGTACATATGCACACAAATGTCCTCCAGCTTTGTCCTCTGAGAGAGCAGTGAAGCAGCCACACCTCCACACCACGCTCAAGCTTACTGTCCAGATTTTGGATTCTTACTACCATTTTCCACTCAAAGCCACCAGCACATCTTGGAGAAATGGCCCATTCCAGGCTTAAGACAAGTAAATCATAAAATGAGCCTGAAACAACATTTTGTATTAGAGAGCAAGAAAGTATTCAAGGACTGTTGGGATCTGTCAAAAGAGAACAGAATAGATCTTGAAGAAGCATTCATTTTCTAAATCAAAGAAATATTAATAAATTATAATCCATTAAATAGAATAGGGAAACTTGAGCCCATGTTAATATAAATGAATGACTACTTTGAAAGTTTGATAAACAGGATATTTTTACATTTTAAACTAACTTCACAAAATACTTATTACTAATAAAGGGAAATCACCTATTTCACAGAGGAAAAGTCTGGCAGATGCCATGTTAACAAGTGACTATAGTGACATCATCCAGAAAGGTACAAGTGGGAGGGAGTCATGCTCCATCTTTCTTGCAAAAGAAACAAAATCTGAATCTCATGATGAAAAGGTATGAGACAAATGAAAATGAAGAACAAAACAACTGGCCTGTAACCTTTAAAAATATTAGCATCACACTACGGGGCAGGAGGAGGGGCAGGGAGAGGAAGGAATAGGGTCAAAATAAGGGGGGGGAGTGCAATTTTATGGAGAATATAACCAAAATGAAAATGCATGCATTGTGCAAAAATTAAAAATGATGTAAGAATTATATAAAATAAAATATTTAAAAGACAAAGGAAAGCTTGGGATCCATATAGATCAAAGAGACTTAACCAAATGTGAGATGTGATTCTTGCTGGATCCTTTTACTATACAGGGCATTACTGGTATTTCTTTTTTTTTTCCATTTTTTAATTTATATATATATTTTACATCATTGTTCATTTTTAATCAATATTTGCTTCCCCCCACCCCTCAGGTGTAGTCCCCATGGAATTTCCTTCCCCAGTGCACCCATGCACCATCACCTCAGTCCTCTGGGCTCCTCCCTCCCTCCCTCTGATCCCTCTCCCTCCTCCTCCCCTGCAGGACGTCTCTGGTTTATAACTGTCTGTACAAAACACAACAAAACAAAACAAAAATATAAAGGGCGTTATTGGGACGACAAGTGAACTCCATTAAGGATTACATAATAGTAATGGATGGGTAATTAATTTCTTGGCTTTGATGATTGTGTCATTAATTACATAAGAAAATGTTTTTGTTTGTAGGAAATGTCCACTAAATTACTGATTGCTTGCTGCCTGCCACAATGTACCACAGATTGTATAGCTTATAGATGTTCTGGAGGCAGGAATGCCAAGATCAAGCGTCAGCAGGGTTGGCTCTTTCCAGGACTTGTCCCAGGTCTCTCGCGACCGCTCTTCCCCTTGTGTCCTCACATCATCTTCCCGCCTCTTCCTGTGAGAACACCAGTCACATTGAGTTAGGACCCACTGAGTTAGGAGCATTACATTAATGATTGTCAAGGAAAACAAGTTCTTTATATGGCATTTTCAACTTTTCTGTAAACTTGCTTTTGCTTGGGTTTTTTTAAAAGTCCTTGAAGGGCATTCTTTGACCCTTTCTAGAATACTCTAAAACCAAATGAATGCAAAACAATGACTGTGTTTTATAAAGATTCAAATGGAAAGGTAATAATTTTATTTTTAAGATGACAAACTTCGGTTCTTTTAAAAATGGGCTTCCGTGAAATACTTCATGCCTTCGAGACGCTGCTCCTCATGTGTAGTGTAACAGATCTACTTCAAGGTCAAATCACACATTCCAGAGGACTCATCTGCTTCAGATCTCTGCTGGATTTCTTTACACAGTTAAGCTCAGGCATTTTGTAGGATCGATGTGTTTATTTCTGAAGTGGCATCTTACATCATTTTATGGCTCCTTCAACAGACTAGCAGCTGTGTGAGCCTCCCACAGAACCACAAAGTATATTAACTAGCAACAGAAGGAAAGGGGAAATGTAAAGAAGAGTTTAATTTCACTTTGTTGGTTTTTGCCAAATTATAAAATCATGCCATATGGTGTATGTATGACAGTGTTGGATCTGAAGCAGCAGGTGCAGTCAAGGAAGAAGATGGGAGAGAATGAAATGGAAGATTGGTCACAAGTAAAGCAACAAGGGAGAAATGAGGCCCGCTGGGGAATACCTGGATGAAATGGAGAGACAGCAATTCCTCCTCAACCTTCTCCATAGTCTCCCTTTCATGCACAGTCCTGCCCCCGACCACACCACCACCAAATGCACATCCCAAGCCAGCAGCGCAGTGATTGTGTGACTGGGTGCTCCAGCAGTGTTCCTGTCAATAGGAGGCTCCTTGCTCAAGCTAAAAATTCCACTGGAAAAGACTAATTCCATTAAGCACATCCTTGTGTCTTAGTTTTTCCATTTAAGATGTAGATCTATGCAGGAAGAGTGGTGAGCTAAGGCTTTCTATGTCAAGTTACCTTAACATGAATCAGCTCGTGAAACCATTTCTGCAGGACAGCTGTTCAAAATCAATCAGGTCTGAAAGAGAAGAGGAATCACATTTCATAAAAGCTAGGCAAGTTCAGGTGTCTGTTCATTCCCCGTCACCGCAGCTATGCTAGCCTCCTGCTCACGTACCAGTGGTCAGGGAGACCGGATTAGGCACCATTTCACCAGAATCCTGATTTTCCAGGTCTTAACTTATTCTTTCTTCCATATGGATTTCCCATCCTGCCCACAATCTCTAATTCAGCTCAAATTTTATCTGTTCTTTAAGATTCAACTAAAATGTCATTTGTTCTATGAACTCTTCAACCATCTCCCACCTACTTCCTTATCTCTTTTTTAAATAAGCTTTCACTGAGTAGCATTGGTTTATAACATTACATAAGTTTCAGGTGTGTATCATTATAATTTGACATCTTTATACATACATCATGATCTCCAAAGTCTAGTTTCTACTCATCACCATACAATTTATCCCTTTTACCCACTTCACCCAACAACCATTCCTCTTCCCCTCTAGTCACCACCAATCTGTACTGATTCCAAGAGTTTGAGGGTTGTTTTGTTTGTTCGTTTGTTTCTTCCTCTTATGCATTTGAGTGTAATCACATATTCTTTGTCCCTGTGTGACTTATTGCACTTAGCACAATGCTCTAAAGTTTCATCCATATTATCACAAAAGGCACTATTTCATCTTTTTTTAATAACTGAGTAGTATTCCCTTGTTTATATATCCCACATCTCCTTTATCCATAATGCACATAATGCACTCAACCATAAATGCACATTTAGGTTACTTCCATAACTTGGCTATTGTACATAATGCCGCAATGACTATAGGGGTGCATGTATCTTTTAAATTAGTGTTTCTCACTGTTAAAAGAAATAGAAGAAGACACAAAGAAATGGAAAGACATCCCCTGCTCATGGATTGGAAGAATAAACATTATTAAAATGGCCATCCTACCAAAAGCAATATACAGATTCAATGCTATTCCAATCAAAATCTCAATGGCATTCTTCAAAGAAATAGAACAATTATTGATGAAATTCATATGGAATCACCAAAAACCCCGAATAGCCAAAGCTCTACTGAAAAAAAAAGAAGGAAATGGAGGCATCACACTCCCAGACTTCAAACTATACTACAAAGCCATAATCATCAAAACTGCATGGTATTGGAACAAGAACAGACATACAGACCAATGGAATCGAATAGAAAATCCAGAAATAAACCCACAGATTTATGGTCAACTAATCTTTGACAAAGGAGCAAAGACTATGCATTGGAGCAAAGAAAGTTTGTTCAATAGATGGTGCTGGGAAAACTGGGTCGCTACATGCAAAAGAATGAAGCTTGACCACTACCTCACACCATACACAAAAATCAACTCAAAATGGATTAAAGAACTAGACATAAGACCTGAAACCATAAAATACATAGAAGGAAATATAGGCGAAACACTACGGGATTTGCACATCAAAGACATCTTTACAGACACATCACCCAAAGCAGTGATAGTGAAGAGAAAGATAAACAGCTGGGACTACATCAAATTAAAGAGCTTCTGCACAGCAAAAGAGACAATAACAAAAACAAAGAGAAACCCCACCAACTGGGAGAACATTTTTGCACCCAACACTAATGATAAAGGACTGATCACAAAAATCTGCAAAGAGCTGATGAGACTCAGCAACAACAAAGAAAATAATCCAGTCAAAAAATGGGCAGAAGAGCTAAAAAGAAACTTCTCTGAAGAGGAAATGCAAATGGCCAACAGACATATGAAAAAATGTTCAACATCACTTGTCATCAGGGAAATGCAAATCAAAACTACCATGAGATACCATCTCACACCAGTGAGAATGGCACATATTAAAAAAACTAGCAACAACAAATGTTGGCGAGGATGTGGAGAAAAAGGAACTCTTGTGCACTGTTGGTGGGAGTGCAAACTGGTCCAACCACTATGGAGAGCTGTGTGGAGATTTCTGGACCTACTAAACATAGAGCTTCCATATGATCCAGCAATTCCACTCCTAGGTATTTACCCAAAGGACACAGAAACATCAATTCCAAAGAGCACCTGCATTCCTATGTTTATAGCAGCACTGTTTACAATAGCTAAGCTTTGGAAACAACCCAAATGCCCAAAAATAGATGACTGGATCAAGAAGATGTGGTACATATACACACAATGGAATGTTACTCAGCATTCAAAAAAGATAAACACATGCAATTTGCAGCAACATGGATGGCACTGGAAGGGATCATGCTCAGCGAAATAAGCCAAAAAGAAAAAGAAAAATACCGGATGGTCTCACTCATAGCAGGAATCTAGAAAACTTAAATAAGGGACCAGGAAAATGAATATAAGAAAGTGAAAATCAAAATCAACAAAAACTATGAACCAGAGACACTTTTTGGGGGGTGGCGGGCGGGAGGGGAAGGATTGGGGTCAGAATGGGGCGTTTGCAATTGTATGGGGGAATATAAAAATAAAATTTAATATTTGGAAAAAAAAAAAAATAAATAAATAAATATGGACCTTGCCATGTTGCTGCAAAAAAAAAAAAAAAAAAAATAAATTAGTGTTTCTGTATTATTTGGATAAATACGCTGAAGTGGACTAGCTGAATCCTATGATATTTCTATTCTTAATTTTTTGAGGCATGTCCATACTGTTTTCCATAGTGGCTGCACTAATTTACAACTCCACCAACACTGCCCAACAATTTCCTTTTCCCCATATTCCTATCCCTTTTTTTCCCATGCTGCTGGCACCTTATTCTGGCATTTATTTGTGTGTTTGTCAATTCTATCGATATTACCCAGTTGTGGGCTCCGTTAGCGCATGCACTAGATTTTACTCATCGACTCGTGTCGTCTCCTGACACACTGCCTGGAACATATGAGTGTTTAATAAATATTTCCTGAAGTAAGCAGACTCAGAGATCATAAGACCTTTGATTTTCCATGGCCTTGTTTACATTCTTTTCACACTACCTTGTAGGAAGACATTAAACCAAAAATGCATGGGAACAAGTCTCTTCGTGCAGTAAAGTAAGTTTCAAAAACATTAATTAAAAGGCATTTCCCGTTAAAAGGAAAGAACAGCTCCAAGGGTAGTAACTCTATCTTCACATACCCAGTTAGTTAAAATGTATACACTTTTGTGCCATTAATTTGAACGTCGTGAACTTGAAAATCAGTTCCCCTTGGCTTTGTGAGCTCTGAATTCTGTTTCCTTCCCCATTTGCTTCACATCAATGACACCCAGAACAATGCTGGGAAGGGCTCTGGGGGTGCCCATGATGTTATCAGTGGCTGCAGGGGAACCAGCTTAGGAGTCTGAACTGGGTTCTGGCCAGAAAATAAAGTACATTTCAAAGGATTGAGTGTATCACTTTTATTTGTTATTTGAACTGAGCTCTGAAAGGTTTGATTCTGTATTAAGGAGATTTTTCAAACTAATGCACTAAAATTTATAAATTTAAATGATAACTCTTGCCTCTAAATTCCATTTGCTAGTCCATGGCCAATACCATTATTCATGATGTATTTGGAATTTTTCCTTGGAATAGCTTCTGAGGTGAGCCTTCGAAGACTTTCCTTTGAAAGTCTTCTACCAGGCTTTATTGCAAATGACTTGGAGTTTGTTTTCATCTTTGAAATCAATTCATAATGACAAAGAGTTACAACCACCGAGCACGTAAAGAAATGGCCTCAGTCACATCTACAGCAGTGGGCACCTCTTAAACTAGCATCAAGGGCACCAAACTGATGCTGTGGCAGAGGATACTCACTCAGACTTACCGAATTCTGACATGCTTATTTAAAAGGCAGACTCCACACCATCATCTGTAAAATGGGAATAATGAGCCCACCCTTAAAAGAAGAACAATGAGCTACAAGGGGAAAAACAGCAACTATACGCGGTGGTGGCAGTGATGACTAACCTGGTTTTGATAATTATTTCACAATATATATGTGTATCAAATTATCAGATTATATACTTACACAATGTCATAAGTCAATGGCATCTCAATAAATCTGGGGCAAAAAAGAATTCAAGATTGTTTTAAAAAGAAAAAAGTGATCCACAGAGATTAAATAAGGAGAATGTTTAAAAGAACAGAAATTAAAAAAAGGTCTTGCAGATCTGAGTAGTCAAGAGAGTGGTTCACTAAAGACAGACCAAGAGCTCAAGGAGGCCTTCCAAGGGCGTGGCAAGACCCTGCACAGCCAGTGTGGGGATGTGATGTGGGCCCTGGGGCCAAACCCCCACCAATGCTGAGGGGCTCAAGGTCCTGGGGAACCTGGGGAGTGAGGAGACAAACATGAAGGTGCTGGACTTTGAGTCCTGCCTACGCTTCAGGCTGTGACCAAAACAAGGACCAATGCACCTCTGTGGACCGCATGGAAGCTCTAGGGTGTTGGCCAGGATCACCACAGGTGCTGCAATGCAGCATGTTCTAGTCACACTGGGTGAGAAGATGACAGGGGAAGAAGTAGAGTTGCTAGTGGCAGAGCATGAGAACAGCTACAGTTGTATCAGCTACGAAGAGCAGTCGGCACAGTGCTAAATGACCGAGGATGTTCCCACAACACCCAGAGCCCCCAACCTCCCCTGTGAGGTTGGGTAGGTAGCCCCGAAGGTCACATCTTTACCAGATTGTCTCTCTTGGATGATGTTTCCCATGAGCATCACCACAAAAACTTGCTCTCTGTCCCTTTAAAAACAAAAAAAACACAGAGCATCATTTGTTCATTCATTCAGCCAAGAGGCATGTATTAAGAACTGACCCTATGCAAGTGCTACCCCAGAGGCTGAGGATACAGATACATGAAATTTGGTGCTTGCTCTCTCAAAGTACTCAGACACTGGTTGGGAAGAGAGATGCGTAGATAATTTCACAGAGGAGCCATAAGATAAAGAAGAGAGAAGCTGGCCCTGGGTATAGCCTATTGAGTGTGGGGATGGCCAGGGGAAGCAGGATAGACTTTCTAGAACATGCAAAACCCACCCCATAAGTATGAACACTCCTTTGCTTTAAGGTAGATCACACTGTAGCAAACTCATCCCAGGATAGAACAGTTCAACACCCCAGAAAGCCTATATTTAATTTTCCCCTGCACCCATTTAAATAGCTACATAATTAATAAAGCGTTAGTTATCATTCTGTTTAGTCTGCTACACTGTAAAACATCTCAAACTTTCACCAAAGCAGAAACAAAGAACTATAAATACCATAAAGAGTGATGGCTTCTGAGTGATGAGTGCTGGGTCTTACTGTTCCTTCCCTAACCTCCCCCTTCCCCAGTCCAGCTGCTGCCATTTATAATGTGGGGCACAGGGGAGGGGGGTACTGTGTCATGAAAAGAGAGGCATTATTTCTCCCTTGTAATCATACTTCCTAATGGGGAAACTATCAACCAGCCAGCCTGATTCCCAGCCTCTGCCACCTCCTCCTCCTTTGACTGTAGAGCTCACTGCCCAGAGTCTAACCCAGGGTGGGTCCCTTAACTAACCCCAATTCAGTCATTTCACAATCTGGTGTCCATGTTGACCTTGTCCTGATACCTGGACTTCTCTACCCTAACTCCCAAACCAATAAAATATTTAATATATAATAATTCCATGGTGCCAGTGCTATACTGTTTATCTTAACACATTTAAGAAAAAATTCTTAAATTCTTAACACGTTCAAAAGAAATTGAAATATTGTCCAAGATCCCATAGTTAGAAAGTCCTGAAGCAGGGATTTGAAGGCAGGTCTCTGTCATTCCAAAGACCTGCCTTCTCCTCAGTTCCACGTGGGCTCTGTGTGACCCTGGGACTCCTGAATGAATGCCTTTCCTCTCCCCTCCTTGTTTTCTCACTGTCAAAACAAAAGGTAATAATGTCACTTCTAAAATTATTATTTTCTTGGTGTGCTCACATTCATGTTACAAGTTAGCAGTGGCAGAGATAAAAGGTGAGGGAGGATTCCACAGTTGAATTAATTTGAGAAAACAGCATATTTATCTGCTTCAGAGCTTTTAAAATAATGATATGCTTTGGGAATCTTTGAAACAGGCTCTAGTCTTCTTTCCTTTCCTTAGCCATGGGACACTGTCTTCCCCAGACTCCAGAGCCCTTGGAAGCAGCTTGGGAGACACTGTCTTGCACGCCACATAAGAGGCTTCAAGTTCCTAGATGCAGAGCCAGGCCCCAACACCCCTGATTATCGCTCTAATCCCACACAGCTTGGAACACCTCTGGGGGAGAGGGACCAGGTTTCCTTGCTTACCCTGAAACAGAAGAGAGACTGTTCAGCGAATTCCTGGACTCCTTACTCGAGTTAGCATTGATGCAGTCGACCTCTCCAGAAGCTCAGCGAGGACACAGGGAAGCCCAGCTGTGCAGGCTGTTTGCAAAGCTCTTTCATTTCCCACATGGCTGCCCTTGGCTTCGTGTCTCTGTTTATTCGTGGTCATTTATTTCTCCCTAAGCACTTAGACTTGGATTCATTTTCATAAACTTAAAGCTGCTATTTTGGAACTTGTTTTTGAAACTCTCAACTGATTTAGTTCACGTGAACTATGCTTCATTGCTTCTTTCTAAAATGAGAGCTGTCCTTTTGTCCAGATTTAGCCCAAGTGTAGTGCTGTCCGGGCAAAGGGGCTGGGTTGCAAGGTTTATGGAGCCTCTTGAAAGCCCAGGATTCTGTGATTCCCTAATTTTTCTTTCTACTCTTCATAAACTTCCAATTCCTTTAACACCCATAGGAAGAAAGATGTAAAAGGGAGAAAAAAAGAATCTTCCCTCCCATCACTTAAAGCTTCATAACCCCTTTTTATTTTATTTTTTAAAAAAGCTTATATTTTAGATAAATATTGTTACATAAGTTTATAAATAATGGTGCTCAAAGAACCAACAGAAGAAGACTTAGATACAATTCCTCTTGCATACATTGAAAATATAAGTTCTCATCATAAAGTCCGAGTAACAGAACTCGAATGAATGAAATTGCTCACACAAATAACAGGAACAAACATTTTTGAAAATTGGAAAGAAAATGAAAGCAGGGGAATAGATGAAATAAAATCATGTAGATTGAGTGGGCTCCAGCAGAATGACAGCTAAATAGGTGGGTGTATAGAGATGCCATAGATGGGAGGCAGGGACATCCACTTCAGTTCTTGGATACCTGGGTATGTTAGATCCACCTTCACATTCGTGCAAAATGATGTCTTAGGATTCCATGAAGGTCTGGTGAACAGGATGGTTTATGTCTAATTGAATGCAATCTATACAGTATTAAACCCATACAAGATACAACCCCAGTAATAGACAATATGCTAAATACTCTATGACATTTCATTTACTTCATTCATATAATCTTCTCAGGGAGCCAAAATTTTATTTTAAAAAAAAGCTTATATTTTAGATCAATATTGCTACACAGTTTTATAAATAATGGTGCTCAAAGAACCAGCAAAAGGAGACTTAGAATACAGTTCCACTTGCATTCAACCAGCTGGGGAAGAAGAGGTTTGAGACTGGCTTTCTCTATTTGAAGAGAGTGGAAGGTGTCACATAGCTTGAACACTCATGTGGGGGAGACAGACAAAAGAGGGCAGTGAACAGAAGGGGGAAACGTCTCTGCCCTGTTGGTGGTTGGAGTTCTGACTCCGCTGGTTCATGAAGTCCAGTGCACTTGATCGGTTTTGGAATTCCTGGTTGGAAGAAGGTGTTGTAGGCTACAGATCAGGGGGGCAAGGTAGAGGGGGATGCATCAAGGCAACATGTAAATGGGGACCATTCAACTAGAGAAGTGCTGACACCTGAGCACAAACATTCTATCTGTGGTGTGATGAGAAAAAGACACCCACCTCTCTTGAAGCTGCAAGATTAATGCAGAGTTGAAGAACTGATACTGAGGTCAGAATGGACAAAGCAGAAGAATTGAAATTGTGAAATTCCAAGTAAACAAGCTCTGATAATAAACAAGATCTAAGTTCCAGGTCAGAGAAATGTTTCCCTGGAGTGTCTGGGGAGTGGGGACTCTGAGGAGATGGAAGGGTACCTGGGCTTGGTGGGGTAGGAGATGAGAGTCTGCCATTGCAGGGGAGGGAACATGAAGGAGATCAGCATCCAGGTGTGGGGATCAGCTAAGGCAGGAGCCTCGAGGATGTCAATACACAACAATACTGGTTGACCAAGAGAAGATGGTGCTGGGGTACAACCCGAGTGGAGACAGGTAAGGAGCCCAACCTCTGGGTGTTGCAAGAGAGGAGGCCTGTGTGCTGGCTGAGTGGATTTGCATCACAGCTATCACAGTGGCTGGAGGCTATAAGACTGGTGTTGCAGAAGTGGGTGAGGAGACTGGATTGGAGCTTAACAGGTATGGAGACTGGAGAGGAGCCCCTATCCTTGGTGTCACCAACATTCGGCAGTGGAGACACATGAGGAGACTGTTGTTGGGGGCCCGGGACTAAATGTTGGTGAGTGAGAAGGAGGAGGGGACTTACATGTCAGGCATGGTCACAAAAGAGGAGATTGCCAATTTTGTCATCAGAGGTGTGGAGACGTGAAGGGAGGCAAGTGTAGGAGACACAGAGATGGGCACGAGGCCCTATTTTGCAGGTAAAAAGACCTGCATGGAGGACAAGGAATCCTTGTGTGTTCTAGGACAGCTATCAGCAGAGACTGGTCAACATGTCTGCTTTCTCCACTCGGGTCCATTCCTTCTGGCTATAAGATGGCCGGTATTTCTGCTCTTCTTGAACCAAATCAGCAGTCAAATGGAAGAGATTCATAGGGAGAGACATGGGGAAGAGGCCCAGAGCTTCCTTGCCCTCTACAGGGGATACATTCTCTTCAAATCTCCATTTGTTCATCGGACCAGAAGCTCAAAAAAAAAAAAAAAAAAAAAAACGGTTTCTGAGGTTGTTACAGCCAAGACAGAATCAGCAGTGAGATGAGAATCCTTGTTCTCACAGCTAGGAGACTAGATTTGATTCAAACTTGCCCCTAGTGTTCTACACACTACAATTTCATCTGTTCCCCCAACTATAAAACAGGATAATAATCTCTCTTAACTTTGCTTCTATCCTTATATTGCTCCAAAGATGGATTTACTCATGTAAAATTGCTTTGAACACTCCAGTGAAAGGAATTACTCAAGCAAAGTCATAATTATGGACCTTCTTGGTACAGCAGCTATTGAGTTCTTACTACAGTGAGCTCAGACCAAAAATTTTATTGTATTTTGCTGCTATGCTTAATTACCTTATAATATATGACACATCTTATTTCCCACTCAAAGAACTTGGGGCTCCTTGGAGAAAGGGTTGAAGTCAGAGCTGGAGCATCTGCACCCATGGCAGGATGGTGGGAAATTAACAAGGACTCTTAAGAGTCCTTTTCAAAGGACCACGGAATAACTCCAATAAACTCCCAAAGTGAGAGAATCAGCACTTCAGAAATAATAGCTGAAGATATGCAACAACAAAAATAACAATAACAAAGGCAGCTGAGAATATCAACATATTTAAATTTACCTGTTTATAAAATACTTTCAAAATCTAATTAATGACAAATGTTTATTTTCATAATTGTGATGGTTCCACAGGTAGATTTGTCCAAAGTCATCAAGTTGCACACTTTAAATGCAAGAAAAAAAAATTTTAAGACTTATTTACGCATACAAAAGCTGGGGTACAGGCCAGAGGTGTGGGGAGTGAGAGGATTCACCAGAGACAGAGTGGGGAACAGAACAGGCAGATTGACCGAAGTACACTGCAGAGGGGAGCAGCAGAAGTCAGAAGAGGTCTCCTGAGCCATGTGGGTAGCTCCCTGGCCAGCCGGGGATCAAACTTATGCTGCACCAGCTGCAGATAGCTTACATCTTAACACCTTGCGCCACCAGGGAGGCCCTAAATGCAAGAAAATTATGGCAGTTGTACTTCAGTAAGTCTTTATTAAACAATTTAATTGGTTGCTATTGGATAATTCAAAAGGCCAACTCATTATTTTGAAAATTAGTGAATAAAGGGAGAGTCAGACACTTTCCTTTCCTGTCCAAACTGTACATATCTTTTGGAGATATTGAAATATTTATGGATGGAAATGTATCATACCTGAAATGTGTCTCAAAATAGCAGGGGAGGGTAGAAGCAGGTAAAATAAGATTAGCCATGAGTTCATAGTTGAATGGAGGATATATGATGCACATTATATGCTTGTCCCTGTATGTGTTTTAGATATTTCTGTATGTGTTTTAGATATTATCTGTATGTGTTTTAGATATTATCTGTATGTGTTTTAGATATTTCATAATGGAAAGTATTTCTAAAACATAACATAGGGGCCTCCCTGGTGATGCAAGGAGTTAATACGCAACCTATGAAGCTGTCCACAGCCACTGCAGCACGAGTTCAATCCCTGGGAGCTAACCCACATGGTGCAGCAAACCTCTTCTGATTCGCCTGCTACTTCCCTCAGTAATGTATTTCAATCAACCTGTCTGTTCTGTTCCCCACTCTGTCTCTGGTGAATCCTCTCACCCCTCACACCTCTGGACTATACCCCAGTTCTTGTATGCATAAAATAAATAAATATTAAAAAAAAACATAGTCTATACATCCTCTTGGCAAATTAGCTAACTCCTTATCAGAGCCTTACCCAGTAGAGAAATGGGTCCAGAAGCATCATAGCCAAGGGCTATTGAAGTCTATTAATATTTAGAAAATGCTTTGAGGTTTGAAGATGAAAGATACCATATAATTGTAAGGTATTATTACCATATTAGAATTAAATAAATTACACAGTGAATTTGGAAATCTAAATCTGATCACTACCTAACTCAAGATTTGGGTCATGTGGAGAATGAGCTTCCTGAGAAATACCCATAAAGGGTGAATGATCAAAGGTTGATTCAATTGGCATTCTTTCCCACATAAGACACCCCCTTAAGCAGAGAGAAACCAAGGCAAAATTACTAAGAAAATTAAGTTCAGCTTGGTGTCCCCTCTGCCTTCTGATCCAAGCCCTTCTGGTCTCCTGTTCCTGCCTTTAGTTGAACTAACAACCCCATGTAAACCTGAACACACAATTACCCCTGCAAGATTTCATGCATCTGTTTATTTATCGTCTTACTCATAAACAACATCTTTTTGAGTGCCTGCTCTGATAAATAGCTCACCCTGAAGGAGCTCATTGACTATTAGGGCCCCAAGATATCAAATAAATCATCACAATGCAACTGCATGAAGAATGGACAAAGTGGGTGCAGAACAGAAGGAGTTACTAATTCTCTGTGGGAGGATCTGAGAGTGTATCACCAGGGCAGTGACATGGAACCAGACTCATAAAGGAGAAAAAGGAGATCACAGTTGGAGTCAAAGAAGAAAGGCATTCAACGTGTATCGCTCCGAGTTCTC